ATGTTCTCGTCTTTTGTTTCCTTCTATTGTCTCTTTTGAATAGTGTGTAGATGTTGTTTATCTCTGTGTGCCTGTTGATGGCTGCCTTGTCTGAATACTAAGCTTCCAGGAATTCCCTTGCATTTTTGCATTTAGCTTAGTCTAAGATGCTGACAGTTTCCCAGTTGAAGCTATGGTTAAGTCTGTCCATGTGTTGTGAGATTAAGGAGTTTTCATTGTGTCTTCTGACTGCTTAGTTGGTGTTCATGAAGGTGCTCTGCTAGCCTACTGCCTGTCTGTCCTACATAGTGGTTGTTACAGTCCCTACATTGTATGTTGTAGATGACTCCTGTTTTTCTTCTTGGGCTACTGGGTCTTTGGTTTACTTAAGATGTTTTGGAGGGCTTTGGTTGGTTGTTGTGCTACAGACATGCCATGTGGTTGTAATAGTCTGTTGGCCATTTATAAACTTAAATAAGTTTGTAGGATCATAGATAGACTTTGTAGAGTCTAGTGAAAATTTATACCACTGGCTGAATATAGTTTTTGAGCCCAAGCCTCAGATACCCTGTTGGCATTGTTGTAAGAATGAACTTGTTATTTGTTTTTATTTATTTATCAGCTTGCTGATTTTATCACCATAGTAACTCTATGCAGCTTGTTAGTCTAGATCACATGCTTGGTTGCTTATTTAGAGTCACCCGTTGGGGGAGATGGGCGGCATACAAATTAATAAATAAATAAATAAATAAGTATGAAAATTGGGTTGATTCTGTGTGAGATCTCTGAAATGCTTATGGGGTTTTGTGGATGTAAGCCTTTTTTGGTACTTCACTCTTAGAATAACATATCTAAGTCACTCTTTTACTGAACCAAATAAAAAGTTGCTATTAGAATGGAAATTCCACAAAACAAGCAGTAAAAATTTTAAATCGTGTACTACTGTACAACTTGAGATGCAATTGACTGCAAAGATTTATACCAAATATAACTTTAATTCCAGTTTAAGAATTGGTAAAGCTTACAACAGATGCAAAAATCTAATTAAATCATTTCAATGCTTGCCAACTTTTGTTTGGCTTCTAAATGTATACAAAAGTATATGAGGCAATTATTTTTTATTTTTAAGATAATTTTTCTTCGTTTGAAACTTCTGTAGCTTAAAGATTCTTAATATAAAAAGTTCTTTATAATTTTTTGTCACTTGATTTCCTGTATTTTTATTTCTCTGTGTATTTGGGTTTTGTACAGTTTTGGATAATCACTCTTCTGGAGATTCAGTAAGGTAAGTTTTAAATTTGATTTAAATTCAGGAAGTTCTGTGAAACTGGAAAGAGGTAGATTCTTATTTTTATACATATGCATTTATGTTTAAGGAATTCTGAAAAAACAGATGATGATAGCTGGCTTTCTTCAGAAGAGGAGGAACTAGGCTACAGTCCCAAGGTAGGGTTTTGCCCTGTGTATGCTCAGAACTTCTAACACTGAGAGACTTAGGATACTAATTAATACTTGTTCTGATGGAAGGAAAATATGAACCACAATTCAAACCTTAACTTTAATGCAATGTATGCAGCTTGATGTTACAGCTAATTCCAATTCAGAGTTCATGGATGAGATACTAAATTAGAATTACTGGAAAACTGAAGCAAAAGCTTTTAATCTGCTATTCGAAATCAGCCATGGAATAAGGGGACAGAATATCCTATCCTCTAGTTTCAAGAATTTGGATGCAACCTGAAAAATGCGCTCCAAGGGAGTGCCTTAACCAGAAAACATATTTTGACGTGCAATAAGAGCAAAACAGCTCCTTTCAGGATGGTTCCATCAGAAAGATTAATGTGTCTTGTTTTTGACAAAGCAAAACATTTTAAATATTTCATGTGAAAGAAAATATTCAGAGTGTTCCACCCTGTAAACCCTTTGCTTTTTGTCCTAGTTTCATAAAATTAAGAGGGACAGCAGGCCATGCTGAGTTTCACCTATACCCACCCTACAGGAAAAGAGGTTAAAACATTAAAAAGACTTCGCACAGCAAACAATGGAAACAGCAGTTAAGCCCATATTTTACACTATGGCAGGCTTGTACAAACAGCCACAGAATTGAGCATAGAGAAGAAACAGGCAGCAGTGATAGATTCAGTTCAAGAAAGCCAATTAACAACAGAATAGCAAAAGTATACTTATCCACTTGCAAAGTTCAATAAATAAAGCAATACTTTATAAAGCATTTGCAACCTTGAAAACTCAGCATCATGGCAACATTTGTAATGCAATTGCATAGTTTTGTAGTTGGGAAACTGCTTAAAAAAGAAAGCACATAATAAAAACAACAATATTACATTACAATGCATGAACTGGCATTTCTTCATAACCAATAATTCCAAAATTGTTTCTATTCTGAAACTATAATTTCAGTTTTAATTGTTCTTCCCCACACCAGCCCTTCTCCCTTTAACTAGTTGCATCCAATAGCAGCAAGATAGAACTTAAACCTGCTGTTTTATTGATTGATAATTCTACAAGTCTTCATGACTTGGAAGTATTTAAAACAAGCTGGTCACTGGATCGAAAACAATGTAGAACAAAATATCCTAAGCTTAGAACAAATATGAAATGTTTGGTTCTGAATTTGAGTCAGAAATATTAGAACACAAAGCATTTTCTAAGCTGAGACTACTTGAAATAGCTGTTCTGAACTCAGGATATGGGCATGATTTTGTACTAGCATTTGGATCACCTTTCTTCATTTGAAAAATATGCATAGAATCAGAATTGGAAGGGGGTATTTATGCCATAAATTCAATCCCCTGCTTAATGCAGGAATCCAAATGAAAGCACCCCAGACAGATGGCTGGAATTAAAATAATATGTTTTGATCAGTGTGATGTTACAGTAGATAAGTTTGGTCTAGGACCAGGAAGACCCAAGTTCCATACTGTTTAAATCTCACTTATCTCATACACTGTTTGCAGGATAAAATAGGGAAGGGGAGGGTTGGTACATTTATCAGTCTAGGTTTTTGGGAAGAAGAGCAAAATATAATATAGAAATGGTTGCTACAGTGAAAACCTCTGTATGCTTAAACTTTTATTCTTAGAAAGCAGAAAAACCAAGTTTGGCTCAGCTAATGAAAGTTGCACAGGACTTCAAGAAAAAATGTAAGTTGCTTGAAAAAACAAGTTACAACTATACTGGTTGTCTACAGAAAATATTAATTATGTTTTTAATCTGTGTGTGTTTGTATTTTGATGCAGTAGATGAGAAAGATTACATTGTCCGAACAGAACATTTAGGCAGTTCACAGCAAAATAAAGCACATTGTGAATTTGAAGATTGCAATGAGTCCCTTCCTAAGTCTTTGTTCCAAGTCAAAACCTTCCCTCATTCTGTCCATTCCTCACCTGGCTCCTTTTCCAAATGTTCCCAGAAGGCTTTGCATTCTAAACAGGTAATAAGTTTGAATTCATTCATTTCATTGTATTATTTATCATGTTTTTTTATACCCACATGTGATTTTGTGAAGACAATGAAAACGAAAATCAGACAAAAGAAAATATTAAAATATATATGCAAAAAAAGAGTAACCCCATTAAGCAAGAATTAAATGATTCAGACAGTTCTTTTGCAAGCAGTGAAGAAGAAGAATTTGATGGGAAGAAGAGAGAGGAGAAGAAAAAAGAGGAGGAGGAGGAGGAAAAAGTAAAAGAAATGGAGGAGAACTTCAGTACAGGAAGGGAGGAAGCAAATGTAAAAGAAATCTGGAGCAAGGCAGAATGTAAGGAAGATGAAACTGTTGACAAATTAGAAGGGAAAGAACATTCCACAGCAAATGAACATGAGTGGAAAGCAAATCTGTTTAAAAGCAGTAATGAAATATGCAGTGTAGGAAATGAAGTGGTGCAAGATGGTACTAATATTCCTGAATCTTTTATTCCTGGGCATTCTGAATCTTTACATGACCATGCAGTTATTAACAAGGTAAATAAGGAACTGCCTGAACATTCAATTGAAAAAGAATATAATTATGAAGATCAGTTTCAGAATTTACAGAAATTCCAGGACACTGAGAACAATAATAAAATGTCATATGAGAATCAAAAAAAGTTTTGCAAAAATGTTTTTTCTTTGGAGAATGTTGGAAAAGCTACACTTTCTAGTTTCCCAACTAACTCTCATGACAATGGCATGGATTCCATTCTGGATGATATTATTGAAAGTTATGATGTTTCTGGATCAGAAGCAGAATTAAAAAAACACACAAGTACACAACAGAATATTAGGAATCCTGATTTTGCAGGATATCAGAACACTGAAGAAAAGCAATATGTGGATTCAAAAGAACTGGAAGAAGCAATATATGAGCCAACAATATATAAACTTTATACTGAGGATAAAAGTCTGAAAACTTCCCATTCTAATTTGAAAGTAAGTGAATCTATTGTAAAGGGAAAATATTTTCAATAAAATTGGATTTCATGAATAAAAAATGTCTACTTTAGCAAACTTGTTTATTAATGGCACTTCAGTGGCACAGGAAAAATAAAATCCGTGCCTGATCATTCAGAACACAAAAGCCAGATTGTTAGCTAATGTATAGATTTGATAATATTTTGTCAGTGAAAATATCCAAACTGGTTTAATAGTTCACTTCTATAATAATTTTTACTAAAGTTTAAAAATACAAAGATAAAAAACTAATACAAATGAAAAAAAATGAAGAGAAAAAAGGGCAGAGAAAAAGAAAAAGGAAAAAAATGTATAAAGAAAAAAGATATAAAAAGAAATTATTTCCCCCTTCAACAAGATAAGTACAAACAATTTAAGTAATGTACCACCTTCTCTAATATTTCATCAAAGATCTCTTCATATCTCATCTCTTATCTGTAAGCAATTATAAAGCCTCACCATTCAGTCCTAATCAGCAAAAGTCCAGTAAGAGTTACCAGAAATAACATATATATTTTAACCTTAATTAAATCAATCAATCACATTTTCCTTTACTTTTAACAGAATAACTTATCATTTTCTCTAAAAATACAACCAAAAAAAATCTTCCCATATCCTATCTCTTATCTATAAACCAACCTTTAAAGCCTCGTCATTTGAACCTAGTCAAGAAAAATCCATTCAGAACTACCAGGAAGAACAACATACTAAGAATCATGATCTTTAATCCTTTCGAATAGTGTCCCACAAGTTAATTTCTTATCATTTTCTCTTTGTCTTTTCTCAGAAACTCCTTCACAACTTTAACACATACCAGAAATATTAACACCTGTATTTTAACATTAATCAAATAAGCCAACTTTGTAATCCTTTCCTTTACTTTTAACACCATAGCTAATCACTTTCTCTGAAAATATAACAAAAAAGCTCTTCTTATATCTTATCTATAAACAAATCTTTAAAGCCTCATCATTCAGTCCTAGTCAAGGAAAACCCATTAAGAGCTACTAGAAAGAACATCATACATATTTTAACCTTGATCAAGTAAGCCAACTTTATATTCCTTCTTTTTACTTTTAAAAATCTTGATCTTTATTCCCTTTAAGTAGTATCCCAAAAGCTGATTTCTTTGCATTTTTTCTTTGTCTTTTCTCAGGAACTCC